CCGAATAAAATGTAAAGGGGAGGTCATCCCTGCCGTCGCCGCCCGCCAACCGGCGGCAGAACACACCCGACCCATGGGCAGAATCCGACAAGCGAAGTTAAGTTTTGCCCAACAACGGACTGTAAGGCCCGCAGCTGAGAATTTCTCGCTTGCCCCAGCACCCACGGAGTTCCCCTGGTAGAGCCACCAGCTTAACCTCAGGCAAGTGGCACTCCATCGTGCCGGAATCCAAAACAATGCCCAAGAAAGTCATCACCGTAGCCGGGCCCACAGTTCTATCCACCGCCAGAGGAAACCCGAAACGTACCGCAACGTGTTGCAAAGTGGCCAGCAAAACTGCACATACTCCGGAATCTGGCGGACCCACGCAAAGAAAATCATCCAAATATTGGATGAACCGAATCCACCCCTGAGACATCCCGCACCACCACACTCACGAATGAACTGAACTTCTCGAACAAAGCGCAAGATATAGAACACCCCATAGGAAGGCACATATCAACGTAAAATTAGCCCTGCCAATGACAACCCAAAAAACGAAAAACTGTCCGGATGGACTGGCAACAGCCGAAACGCCCGACTCAACGGGCCGATTTCGCCAAGAGCGCACCGCGCCCATACCGACGGACCCAGAAAACAGCCGCAGCAAAAGACGTGTAAGACACCGAACACGACTCTGAAATCAAATAGCATCATTCACCGACCCCCCCCCCCTCAGGGAAGGACAGGTGGGGAATTAACCTAAACGCATTCGGCTCCTTCCGGGGCACAACCCCCAAGGGAGAAACAACCAAATCCGAAACGGAGCGCAAGCAAACGGACCCCCCATGCGTCCCAACCCCCCTTCCTTACGCAACTTAGCCGAAAAACCCCCTCCTCATGCCGCAAGGCCGACCACAAATTCCGAGCTAAGGGAGGAATCAAATTCAAAGTACCCCCGGGATGCGAAAACCCTCCGAAAAACCCGCCGTCAGCAGCACTGCAGCTGCCCGATCAGGAAACCCCTTTAAGAAAGGCCCCATTTCCACTCGCACCTGGAGTCGTCCCTCTTACCAGCATGCTCTCTGGGAAGGCCTCGACCCCCGCCCGCCGGAAACAGCGCGACAAGGGATGGGAGCCCCCCGCACCCAGAACATTCGAGCCGAAAATGGCAAGACCCACCAAATCGACACGTCCCCTCTTGGAACTGCCAGCAGAACCCCTGACGCCTGGAGGCCGATTGTCCCGGGGGAGAACGAACCGCCGGCCCCGCTCTGAAAAAACGAACCAGGGGCCCTCGCCGGTGTCATGAGTCACATCCAGAGGCCAATGTCCTTATAATCCCAACGCAACGACTGGCGAACCGCCCTCCGCTGCCTAAACTGCTCATCGTACCGAAGCCACGCAGTACCCCCCATAAACCCTGCGAGCCTCACCAATGGCATCAAGGTAACAGGACCAGTGCCCGAGCAATGTTCAGGAGCCTTCTCCCCAATCACACCAGCCAAGATCGCGAACGCCTGCAACCAATTTGCAAAGGCACGCGGGATAAAAACGAAACGCCGCCTGCTCCGCTTCCACCCGCCTACTCTCGTCAACACCGGGACCCTGCAAAAGGAAAACGCTCCAAAGGCAAGAGCGAGAATATATCCACGTACTCCCCACTCCAAATCTTCTCTCCCGTACCTCCGACTGTAAATGATGCGCACCCAAAGGGCCCTCAAAACACCCGTTACACTTCGCCCCTGGCCGAGTCCGCCAAGCCGACAGGCCCGGGACACCCTCGAAACCGCACCCAACACCGCGGAGGGGGCCGCAGAACCCCCGATCACCTGTCCGTGGCCGGAACAACCCCTAGCCCAGACCCCGGAGGAGAAGAGACCCCCGGACGCCGCACGTCCCCGCTGTTCTGTACAAGAACCCCGAAACCTTCCCCCACCATCCGGCGGGAGCCACGCAGAAGCAGGCCCAAGCGCCCCACCACCGCCCCACTCAAGACGCCGCAACAGGTCCCGCAAACCGGAAACCACATCACCGAGACCCCCACCCATACCCGACGGGGGAACGCCGACAGTGCACGCCGCAGAGGCCGCGCCCACCGTAGCGGCCCTACCACCCCCCAGCAGGTCCCGTCACGCAGAAGAAAAAGAGATAGACCCCAGAACAGGTAACTCACCAGGCTGCCCAGGAGATGCCCCTTCAGCCGCGCGCTCACGATCCACCGTTGTAGAGCGGCCAGCCGACAGCTCGCCCTCCGACCTCTCGTCCTCCGCACGCTGTCCAGATGGCCTCCCGGTCCCAGGAGCCACGGGTCCTGCTGGTCTGTGCCGCTCACGACTCCGCCTCCCGGCACCAGACACGCTCACCGCCGTCCCGGGGCTTCCGACCTGCAGCACTTCCAGCTGCCCTCCGCCCAGCTTCAGTCTTCCGCTGATGCTGCTGTGGAGCCAGAGCACCAGACCCGTCCAGGGGGCCCGCCGGCCGCAGCAGTAGACAGCCCAGCAGCCGCAGAAATCCCTGCTGCACTCCGTCCAGTGCCGATCCCACGCTGCTGCCTCACTGGAGCCGGAGCCCCAGACTTCTAAGGGGGCCCGCCGGCCGCAGCAGGAGACAGCCCGGCAGCCGCAGCTGTGCGCCTCCCACGCAGGGCTCCCTCCCTGACCGGCACCTTGTCAGTGGAGGAGCCGCAGATTCTCCTTCTGCCTCCATGCTGTGCGGGCGGGGGGGAGGGTCTTCCCCTGCATGAGGCCCCGCCCACCGAGCTCCGCCAATGGCGGGGATTCCTCCCGGCTTTCCCGCTAGCAGAGGCAAAGGAGCGCCTGCAAGTGGAGCCGGAGGGGCCTGAGCGGGGCTTCCATGGTGGCGCTGAGCTCTGGGAGGGGTGTGGGGGGTGAGGGGCTTCCCCCGCACGAGGCCCCGCCCACCGAGCTCCGCCGATGGCGGGGATTCCTCCCGGCTTCCCCGCTAGCAGAGGCAAAGGAGCACCCTGAAAGCGGAGCCGGAGGGGCCCGAGCGGGGCTCTCATGGTGGCGCTGAGCTCTGGGAGGGGTGGGGGGAGGGGCTTCCCCCACGTGAGGCCCCGCCCACCGAGCTCCGCCGATGGCGGGGATTCCTCCCGGCTTCCCCGCTAGCAGAGGCAAAGGAGCGCCCTGCAAGCGGAGCCGGAGGGGCCCGAGCGGGGCTCCCATGGTGGCGCTGATCTCTGGGGGGGGGGGGAGCCCGAGCTAAAGCGCTCCGGAGGCCTAGACCTCCGAGCATGTGGGCGCTCCCGCCCCCCCTGCTGCAGGTGATGAGCCCGGATCCCGCAAGAGATCCGAGACACGGCTCTGCATCCAGTCCATCCCCCTGTCCTCCACTGCCTCCCGCAGCTGAGCCAAAAGGCCGTCCATGGCAGGGCTAAAGGTGGCCTGAAGCAAGGTGTGTATAAAGCTAAACGGACACCAAGCTCACACTCTTGCCGTCCAGCTAACTGACGCCCCCTCACAGAACCTCCCACCCTAAGGTGCAGCAAAACTCCACCTACACCAACCTCTACCAATCAGCTACCCCCCACTAACAATAACAAATCCCCCTGGAGCTACCTTAACCCTTTCTGCTCTTCCTTCCCCCACTCTGGGACCTAGTCATGTATGCCCTGCGCTATTTCTTCTTTATTTCGCTACGGGCATTTCTTTAGTGTTACAGGGAGAGTTAGCATGACAGGTAGTGTTAGAATATGTGTAACAGAGAGGTTTTATGTTGGGATTAGGGTTAGTGTGAAGGTTAGTGTCAGGATTATAGTTAAAGGGAAAGTTTTTGTTACAATCACAAACAGTTACAATCAGTGAGGATTAAGACTGAGGTTAAAAAGAGATTGGCTCAGGACGGGGCGTTTGGAAAACTCTTCTGAACGATGGAAACTGACTGCTGGAAAACGTAGGTTAAAAGCGTCGGTTTAGCCGGGTTTGCATATCGCGTTTATGTGCGTTTGCGTTTAAAAGCATTTTTAAAAGATAACCTTAGGAGACCTTCCCAAATGCCCAGAATGCACTGAAAAATAGTAAAGAATTAACTATTTCAGACATTTTGAGAGAAATAGAGAGAGCAGTATGTGTTGAGATTACCTATTTTTTCTGGTCGTATTCACTATGGATTCCATCATGAGCATAATGCAGCGTGTCTACCATTTTTTCCTTCACGCCAAACCTGGAAGTGACTGCGCTGGTGTGCCGGGTCCATTTGAATATATGAAAAATGCTTTGCATGGAATTCTGATGATGAAAAAAGACTCTGGACAGCATCTGGTCATGGAACAGTTAAAAAACACTTCTAAATGCAAACGCTTATAAACGCGGTTAACCCCATTTACACGCGTTTACAAGCGTTTGGCGTTTGAAACACCAGTAAAATCTACTCCTGAACGCAAGTTTGGTGCATTCAAAAAAACAACTGTAAACTCAACTGCCTGTAAATGACTGTAAACGACTGTGTACATGGACACATAGGAAAACATTAGGGAGAGTTCAGAGGCTGCTGAAAAAAACACTGAACAGCTCCTGAATGTCAGTTTAGGAGCTGCAGTGTACATGAGCCCTAGCAAGGGAGTTAGTGTTAGGATTAGTGTTACAGGAAAAGTTGGTTTGAAAAAGCCCATGGCAGCTCTTAGTGCCAAAGCTTGCCAGTGCCAAACTCCAGGTAACAAAAGCTACTGAATTATCTTGGCAGGCAGTGCATTTTAATGCCCAATATTGGCATGCCAAAGCTTCAGAATGACTTTTTGTAAGGCAAGCAGTCAGTAACAGTGGCGGACTGACAACTCATGGGGTCCCCAGGCAATAGGGGATCATGGGGCCCCTGTGTCCTTGCCCAAACTCAAAAAAGGCCATGAAAAAGGTACCAGGGGCATCTCATGGGGCCCCCTACTGACCCCGGGCTCTCGGGCAGTGCCTGAGTTTCCAAATGGTCAGTCCGCCCCTGGTCAGTAAACACATCTACCTAGAAATTCCAAGGAATGTTTTTCTAGTTTCCTTTTATTCCTATAGATATGATCTCAGGGAGAAAGAGATTTTTAGAAAACTTAGAGAAATTTAACATATCCTCTAGTGGTGTAATTTTGTTTTACAAACTAGATAATTTAGGTTTGCTGAGGATTGGTATTTCTTTCACATGATGAATTATTATGTATGGTATTAAAAATATTATACATAAAGGATTATGTGTAAATTACAGGTATTTTGCTGAGATTAAAAAAAAAATGTGAGCCATGGGAACAATTACCATCTAAAAGACTATCCAAAAAGAGAAATTAGATGATAAGCAAATGTTCACTTGTTTGCTGTGTATACTGCAACACTTGTATTAGCTGCAGTTGCGCATACAAGCTGGTTAGTTACTTTAAAAAGTATTTTACAGTAAATGACAATTTTTTTAAAAAAAATCCACGCTGACATTACCAATCTTGTAATTTTTTTCTTCACTTTGAAACACCTTTAAATAATTAGAATTCCACTATGAAAACTTGAAATGCTATCTTGCAAATATCTCAATAGTTCCCTCCGGTAAATTAAACTTTTTATGATAATAATTTTAAAAAAGAGAGAATTTTTAGCATCCATCATTCCAACATTGTTTTACTTTCTTCAGGTTTGCACAGATGCAAGTTGAATATAATATATCCAGCAGCCATTTAAACTTGAAAAGTGTTCCCCTGCCAGTACCTGTGTTTATGTTCAGATCAGTTCCTCCTGGAGAGGACTCTGGATTTCAGGATTTGAATGTATACGAGGCTTCCACTTCTATCCTAGTTGGCACCATGTCTCTCACAGTGTCCTGCATCCCCCACATTTACCAGTCAAGTACCCTGGCCTGTACTCACCACTAAGGTTATGGTTTGGGTTTTAGACTGGTAAAATGGTGATGAATGCTTAGTACTGAAAGGAAACAAAGCTTGATGCTGACAAATTACTAGCCCTGTGTCTCTTTGGGTGAGGGCACGTGGGAGATCTGGTTATCCTAGATGCTAAGGGCTTTTGAACACAAATATACACCTTTGGAGTGTAGACCATTCTTATAACATCCTATTGTACAGCGCTGAGCAAACCCTTTGGCGCTATATAAACTCGTAGTAATAATAATAATAACATCGGGAGCTTCCACTTAGTCAGTGCACTCTAGTTACATTCTACAGCACAGTAGGCTTTCTAATAGGATGCATTTGAGATTTAACCACATTGCTCTGACAACTGAATTTCATCCATGGGTCTCATAGCTCATTCCAAGAGGTCTTGCACATCCTCCACTCCTCTATGGCTCCTTCCCAAGGTCTAGAACAAGAAAATAAATATTTTGCTCTTCTGATGTGTCTACACTTCTACAGACTCTTTACACCACACTTAGTACCCAATTTTCTTTCAATCACTGTTCACTTTAATTCCCATTCCACATATTCACCACCAGATAGAATCCACCAGATCTTTGAATGCTCAAAAAAACCTTTCTGTAGATTTTTCCATATGCCGAACATAACAACATCAAGATCAGTAGATCAGGCACACAACTTTAATGGCAATAAAGTTACTCTTTCACTGTTGGTGCACTTGTTTGCCAGTCTTTCTTTATATAGCTGTCTTTGAGGTTCCCATGGTCTTTTGAGGTCCCTAGTGGGATCACAGTGACCAGCATCATGTTTTACCTTGGAATGGGAAAGTCTATAAAGTCCTAACATGATAAGCCTCAGATATATTTCAGCTTGATGAATTGTGTTTCTTCCTGCAAATGCAAATGATTTTCACACATTACACATCAAAAACAGGTGATATTTGTTCTTGACTATTGGACCATTTTCACCAATCAAAGAACAGGAGCTCAGTTGCAATGCTATTGCTGGGGAAAACAGAATCAGCTCCGTACTCCCTTACATACTGTGCTGCAGCAGGTTTTAAAAAAGATATACTTGTGCTTATATGAATTTCTTACTGATTACAGTGATGTACCAGCTCAGATCCACATCCTCCATAGTCAAGGCCACAATAACTGGAAGTTCAGAACAGATGCCCAATGACAGTGTACACACAAATCTGTTACAATGAAAATCACCTATTGGAAACCACGTTTTGCTTTCAGCCTGAAAATGAGGATATAATAGGATATCATATCAGCTTTAGGTTTAGTTTATGTAGGCTTTACCTTTTACAAGTTAGTCTAAAGACTGCCATGTAGATACAGCAAAGCATTTAACCTAAAATTTTAACATCTTTAATATTTAAAATTTTAACCAGCTTTTTGGATAGTTTAAGCACCCTCTAGCTTAAAAGGGTTGTAAAGGAAAAAGGTTTTTTACCTTCAAGCATTATATGCATGAAGATAAAAAAACCTTCTGCATGCAGCTCCTCCTACCTCCCAAAGTCTGATCTTGATCCAGTGATATGTACAAGAGCATAGGCTCTCTCTGCTCTCTCACTCCTTATTGGCTCAGACACAGCAGTGGGAGCCACTGCCTCCTGCTGCTGTCAATCACAGCCAGTGAAGAGAGAGTGGGGAGCGGGGCCGAGCCATGCTCTGTGTGTCTTATAGACATGCAGAGTAGGCTCAGAAACAAGCCCCCATGAGTGGCCCTATAGCAACTGGCTTGCTATGGGGGTACTCAGCATGAGGGAGCAGCCAGCAGCACTGACGAAGGACACGAGAAGAGAAGAATTCAAAATTTAAAAAATGTACTGTTACATCATTTTACGTCCTTTGATAGACTACAGAATGCTTAAAAAAATAAGAATAACATAAATGAACAGCTGTGGCAGGTAGGTGACAACACGAAGCAGCAGGCATTGCACTGTGAAATGGAGGTGAAGGAAGGGAAGAGCACATAAAGAAGAAAAAGTATACCCTCTAGCATGTGCTGTCAGCACTAACATCTTGATGATGTGATTTGATTTCCCACAAAGATCACCTTATAGATAACCCATCACAACTGAATTTATGCAATCTGAAAATTTAGTCTTTCAATATTTAAATTCTATAGAATATACTGTATAAAAGATTTATATTTATCTTTTTACTGAAGAGATTCCTGCAAAAGCCCAATCATGAATGGTTCTCTTTTAGGCTTCAAGAAAAGTCCCAGAGCTCTTTAAATGCTTTGTACATGCTTGCTGTACACTGTACAGATTTTCATTTATATTCAAAAGTAATTGGAAAAGGAGTCTTAGAAGAAGCTGCTGAGAGGACACATTCCAAATCTCATTTAATGAAAGAATATATAAACCATTTGATTGCTTGCTTATGAACATATTCCAACTGATGCAGATCATCTGTCGATAGAGAGGTGATTCCATACCAGTAGGGGATTGCAGCTGTTCTCTGGTCAGATCATTTTCTCTTTGGATTTCCTTGTGTGTATGAAAAATTATCCTTCAGTAAACAAGCACACTAAGAGGAAATTCAGTCAAAACGATTTTATTTTCACTAACGTAGGTAAGGATTACATCTCCTCAAAAAAGGGATATAGTCAGCTATATGGAACTGATTAAAGCAACATTCACATGGCCACATGGGTATGTCTACATGGGTGTGGCCCCTCATACAAACTGACCAGTTAGCTGAGGCCATTTTGTGTGCTGCCAAAACTTCGAAACACAAAACCTGGATGCACACTTGTGGGTGGCAAGAAACACACTGAGTCAGATTGCAATTAACAAACTAGTATTGAAGGAATGGCTCAAAGATACAAAACAGCCCAGCAGGAAGGCTCAGGGCTGGGAACACTCACAGTTCACAAATGTAGAGTGGAGCAGGTTCTGATATACTGACAATGTTTGTCTCCAAGGGTGGAATGAGGCCTGGGCCATCTGAGCCCAATGAAGGACGATTACTAGGATAGCGTGCCCCTATCCTGTCCCTACTTGTCCAGAAACTTTCCATGACAGATAGGTAACCTGTCCTACCCTGTCCATTTGCAAAATGCATGCCAAGCCCAAGAGCCAGGGTCTTAAATAGACTCTGCCTGACCAAGATGGCCGCCAGCTGCCAGAATCACATGGGGTGACAGCACCCAACCAGTTTACTTTCCCAGTGGCCCAGAAAACCATAGAGAAATATGTTTGTCTTGACTTCATCTCCCTCTACAGTGGTGCTGCCGTTGAGCAGCTCCTTCAGTGGAGAAAAGAGACTGCACCTGCGTACATACTGCTGGCCATGTGAATGTAGCCTAAGCCTTCCCTAGTCTACCAGAAGTGTAGATTAGAGAAGGGTTAGAGAGTGCTTTTATTGCTGTGTGTGTTCAACATTTGGGGAAAACATCCTCACTTCCCGTCTTCGTGACCACACAAGAAGTCATGGCAAACTTCCAATGGGGTCACTGACAACATTAAAAACCTGACAAAAGATGGAAACTTTCTAATGTAACAAAAATTAGAAAATAAGTTTTATCTAAAGTTGGGCATTGAAAACATGAACATGATTGCTGTATGAAAGATACTGTAGTAAATGGGGAAATGATCCCAGTGTTTCAATTAATGTTCTCCAAGTGGTTCTCCAAGTTTACAATATGCTACTCCCTCCACAGAACTGTTTTATTTTCTAGAGATTTATACATGATATCAGAACTTTAGCATTACCTAATCTTATGGATGTCACTAAGGATCAGCATATTTCTAATTTGTAATTCTTGCCACAACATCTTTCTCCAGGTGGTGAATTAAATACAATGAATTATTCTTAGCATCTTTCTGTCATCAACCTTGTCCTCACGGCCACATGGTTTTGTGGACTATCTCAGTGGTAATTGTCACAGGCACTTACTTGGAAACTAGCAGAAAAATAATTATGTGAGACAGAACATTGGTTGCTAAGCAGTACTTTGAATACATCAAAATTAAATAGCCTTTCTTAGAGTTTAGTGCAGAGCAAAAGCAAACTGTATTCAGTATTTGTAATAAGAAAAGAGGTTACCATTTTATTCTAAGTCATCTTTTTTATAAGCTTCTTTTGGCTAGTGGATTTTTTTGCTCCTTGTATTATCTTTTCTTATAGAGTAGAAAACCTTTCATTGCATCCTCTGTTTGCTGT